ATGTAATTTTACATGGATAAATGAGTTTATCAATATTTTACATCTCAATAATTTCTTAAATTAAATTGTTTAATCAAATAAAAATAAAACATTTACACTTTTGTTATTTAAAATAATTGTCTACTTAACATCTTTGTGTTTTGTTGTATTTATTTGTCAATAAACTATTAGTATTGTAACAAATTTCTTATTTTTTAATTAAATATTCATCAATATTAAATATGAAAGATTAACAATATAATAAACTAAGTGTGATTCAATTATGAATGAATTAAGCAAAAACAATTTTTATTAATACTTTTTTCCTTCATTTTTTTCTAAAACCAGTATTTATGTTTTTTTATTGATTTCAGATATTATAGTGTTTTTATTTGATTTTGTGTAGTTCATAGCATGTTTAAATACAAATTTTAAAAACCTGTTTAAAACCTTCCGAAAAACATACTTCTATGTCCATTATTTTACCTTTAATTTTCATATTAGTTTACCAATACTTTACATTTTTTACGTTTTTTTTTATTTGATTTTGTATATTTTATACAAAACGTTTAATAAAAAAATAAGAAACGTTTTAAAACCTCCGAAATACCGGTTCTATCAAAACATTCTTTTTCTTTTCTTAAAAACTTACTTATTGTACTTGTATGTCAATTTTTTTTATATTTAATCTACCAACACTTTACATTAAAATACGTTTTAATTTATATACGCGAATTGAACATATTAATTTATATTCAAATTAACATTTACCATTATATTCGTGTGCCGGGATTGCGCATATCATTGAAATTCATGTATGCACGGAAAAGCATGGGTTTATGATTTCATTCATTCCTATTTAAAGTACACACATGGAGCAGTTGCTTTCAAATTGCGCTCACATCCATTTAATGAGGGTCCTTAACTGAATAGAAATATATCCGGATGTGCTGCGGAACCATTGACTCCTAAACCAAATGTGTTCCTCTTTCCCATCTACACTTCTACACAAATGCATAGAATTAAATTAATACTATAAAAAAAAACAATTTTCACATTTGCATTCAATCTCCATAAGTTTTTATGATCATATTTCGTGTGTGCGAGGCGGACGTTACTCATGGGTCAATAATTATTTTTCGATTGGATTAATTTATTCTGTTGTACTGGAAAAGGCGACACCATTCTACACTCGTCGTATATGGCTGAAGATTATTGTAATTGTATTCAAATTTACAAAGAGTGGCTTATAAATATATATATTAAAAAAAATCAATGAAAATAAACATATAGAAGAGAGGATGTACATTGAGTGCATTCACTATTCATGACGTAATAATGAAGAGAATGAGAGAGAAAGAAAAAAACGTTTAATACTTGGATCAGAGAAAAGACGCAATTCCATGAGTGGTTCAAGTGGACTTCCATAAATTTTATATTTGATCGAAGGCAGCTTCAATAATAAATTGATATCGGATCGTCGACAGTTCAAACATCGATTAGCGAATTGATTACCTAGCGTGTTTCTTCTCTTCGCCTTTATTTTCTTTGTATCTCGAGACTTTACTCAAGATTATGATGAGCATAAGCAGAAGAAGCAGTAAATAGGTGAAAATAAAGTAAACCTCGTCGACGGTTTAACTTACACTCCTCGGGGTTTTCGTAATTAAAACCGCGGTCTGGTCGATGCCAGCCAGTAAATATTTACAAGAATATTTCATATTTCAGTACGTAAACAAAAGTTTCAGTGCACCTGAGACCCATCCTCGTATCTGCGCTTTCCCAAAATAGAACTCGCTCCTTCTTACTTCCTTCCTCACTTCTTCGATCATCCACACTTCATTCTTTTTTTCTTCTCTTCGTAAATTTCTTCCACTTGTCACGTTTGTTTCTAAAACACGCTCAGGACGTGAAATTGCCACCGTGCAATTAGAAAACGCAACAAGTTTCACCCAGGTTGCGAGAGATACAAGTGCGGAGACCAAAAAAAATATCATATTTTTCAGTGTAATTATTTTTTGTAATTAACGCACTATGATGCTAGAAATTTATATTGCGATATACAGTATGTGAGAGAAAATTTTGAAGCACAGAAATTTATTTTAATTGAACGCACTTGGATGGTAGAAGTATACGAGAAACAATTTTCAATTTGAGAATTATAATGAAACCTCTCTTTTTTTTGTTAACTTCTATTTTCATTCGTTTTACATGTGTTTTGCATGTTGTTTTTAGAAGCGCGTTTCTCTTGGACCTAATTTACTATAATAATATTTTGATGCGAATGTAGAACACCCGAGTTACAGAAAACACTAAATTTGAAACATGCTGAACACAAAGCTTTTCACAATTTATTAGTACTAACTAAGTTAATCTCACTGTTTTTAATACTCCCTTGTCTATAATTAAACTGTAATGATATAAATTAAATTGTATTACGAATTTTAATTTTTATAAAAGCTGTTTTTATGTATTTTTTTTTAATTAATTTTGTATAAAATTTCATAGTCAGTTTAAATAAAAAATTAAATTAATGGTTTAAAACCTCAGAAATCGTTTCTTAAAAACTTATTAATTATAATTCTATGTCCATTTTCCAATTAAAGTAAATAAACAAAAAAAAATATATCATTAACTAAAATGTGCATTTAAGACATGATTAACCTGGAAGGAAAATGTGAAACGAATTGTAATAATTATACCTATTACATCTAATGAGAGAAACTAAATTACTAATATATATAAAGTTTTATTGAAATTCCTAGTATTTTGCTATTGGTAAAAGTAAGCGTATTAAATATCGATACGAGGCACCAGAGTACATCTTTAATAAAAGACTACGAAGACCGTAAATTGAATTGCATTATTAATCAAGAATTAAATTTACTGAATGCTCAAAGGGAATAAATATTGGATGTTTCATTAAAAAATACTTTGATGCAAAAATATATTCTAAAAAAGTTCGATATTACTTATTATTAGTAATTTCCCAATATCTGAAGTTATATAATATAAAATATTAAAAACTTTGCTTATCGTTTTTATTAATATATTTCTAACTACATTATTTTGCAGCGTTTTTGAACCTATTAAATTTTTAATCAGTTAAGATATGACAGCTGTCACCTTATGTCAAAGCGAGAAACTGGTGAAATTCTTGTCAATTGGGTCGCAGCCATATAACAGCCATAAACAAAAATGTAGGATCGCGGTTAATTTTTTAATTAGTCGCAAAATGACAGCTGTACCTTCTGACAAAACGAGGAATTGCTGAAAAACTATTAGAAATTGGGTTGCAGTATAACTACAAATATGTTAGAACGCGGTTAAATTTTTAATGGGTTGCAAAATGACAGCTGTCACTTTGTGTCAAGACCAGAAAACATCTGAAAAAAGTGTTTTTCATATTATTTCTATGTTTTTTTTTTCTAATTTTCCTGATGTTAAACTTTTCTTTATATTGCTTTTTTTAAATAAAAAACAATACAAACAGTTGAAAATAAGTGATATTGCTTTTCGTTGTTTTTTGTTTGTTTGCTTATTTGCGTGTGCGATAGAAACTATGAAAATGGAATCGGACAAACACTCGAGATGGAACTAAAATCAAATTATAATTTTGTTACAGCCCACTGAATCCGTATTTATCATAAATTGCATAAATCCCGATGTTTCTGCGTAACGGTTTTGTTCGTATTTCAGTTTATATTTTAATTTCGTTATGAATTTCAATACCGTTTCGTTTTATATAATACAATTATTAATGGTTAACAGTTATTCGTTTATATTCAATTAATTTATAATGAAAACGATTTATTATAGAAAAAATAGTAATTTTCATATAAAAAACTTTATTTATAATATGTTATTTAATGTATTTTATACAAATTTGAGAATAAAGAATTTATGTTTATTTTAATGAAAATTATTATCAATATGTTAGGTAAATAAACGACAAATTGTGCGACAACTATTGTTTATTGGTAAATTATACACAACCAAACGTCAAGCTATAAAATCCATATAGCATAACATTAAAGGTTGCTATGGTCAACCTGCGTTGAATGGATTTAAAGGGGATAGCGCAAAAAGGTCACAAAGCTGCAGGAAATCAGCGACAAGATCACAAGAAAAAAAATCAATAGACTTAAGCATTAACTGAATTTATATTAAAAAAAACTTATTTACATTATTACCTTAAGTAATTTCTCAACCTATGAATCGAAAAATGACATCGTCATTCTATATAGAATGATATACATTTATAACTAAAAAATATTGTTTTCTTTTTGTGTAAATTTAATCCACTTTCTAAAAAACTAGAGAATAATTTGACTAAAAATAGAATTTGTATAAGTAATTTATAATTTAGAGTACTCGTTTTTATTTATTTTTATATAACTGTACAAGAGAATTCTCAAGTGAATCTGTCCTCAATTGAATACACACACACGGCGAATTCAGCAGCCGTAAAGGAAAGTAACCGTTATATAATTAATAACAAACCGAAACTATTTGTTGTTTTTTTAGAAAATCGTTTATAAAACTTACATTCTCACTTATTTCTTCTATTGCACAATATATTAATTGATAGGCCAGAATATCCTTGGCCTAGAGTGAATTGCGTAGTAAATTTAGCGTATTTTAATTTATATCAATGACTAAAAATAAATGCTCAATCGAAGAAACACATGACATAAGTAATTGACGTACGAAATGAATGCGACCGTCGTTACAGCTTCTATTAGTTTGTTCATCTTCGAATATTATTGCTATTGGCTATATTAATTAATATGCAGCGAGACCTTGATATAAATCGTTACGTATTCCATTCAACGTTTAATAATCTATCACATGCATGTGCTGCATTATTTATGGATGAGACACCGATAGGGGAAAATCTATAACCATAATTATTTATATATCGATACATTTACTAAAACATGCGTATATTTTAACATAGTAAAAAAGAATATGAAAAATTAAAACACGGAAATTGAAGATAATAATGTTTAAAAACTTACAAAAATGACTGTTTTTCAAAATACCTGCAATAAGAAAATAACATATAAATTATTTATGTATAAAACGTAAAAAATTATTGAAAGATTGATAATGTAAGCAAACAATGAAATTAAACAAAATTTAATATTGAAAAAAGATAATGTTTTGTTAGTCATTAGATGTACAAACTAGTATTATAAATTCTATCACGTATGCTGTGAAGTTTTAAATTTCATAACTTTAAAATATTTTAATTTGGTGTTATTAAATTACATGTAAATATAAATGTATATTTTAAAGTAATTATTAAGTATTTAATTTAATTCATTAAAAAACATCGAAATAACTCAAATAAATATAATTTATCGATAATAAAATATACTTAGAAGAGAAGCTTAGAAAACTGCAACTAGCTAATAGTTAATGAATTTGGTTTCTTAAAGAATGAACATATTTTAAACTGCAGCAAAAACTGATGGAAACATATGATATAGATGTAATTCTAGACCAACAAAAAACGGTAGCATAAACGTAAAATCCAATATGTTCAGTCTAGAAAAGATCATTGGTGGTCCAGCAAGAGGGAGAAGAAAAAGATATAGATCAGAAGTAGGTAGCACAAACTAACTACATTTGAATAAGATGATTTAGCTATAAATCAAGTAGATAATAAATTAACAACGGAAACGTTTCATATCAGCGGATCTAACTTAAAGATATGACACATCTGTATTCTACATTATCATTGTGTAGCTTCGGGCTAATCCTATTGGGAATTTTCGCACAATTTATAAGAGATATAATTTATTAAAAGTTATATATTTAGACAATAAATTTCGCAGTAAAACAAATTCATTATTTTTAATCTAATTTGTAATTCAAATAACACATTGCAAATTTGCTATCAGCTAGGTATAAAAAATAAACACATGCATTATAAATAAACATTACATACATTATTTTTGTCATGTTCACTATTGTATTAATTGAATTCAATTATAAATGTATAAATGTTAATACTTTTTGATATATTATGAAATTTATTGTTTGCAATTTTAATCGAAACCTTAACAATTTTGATGCACTTTTCGTGCAGTATCAATTAAATTTTTGCTAATGAGAATACTTATTGTATTTTTGTTTTGTTGGATTATTTAAAGACTATAAACAAATAATGAAGATTGTGTTTTGAATTTAAGACAGAACAAAAAAAGGCATTGAATGATTTATAATGGGGGATTCGCCTGGCAATCGATTCGAGCAGATATTTGGTCCTCGTAACGGTTCTTTTAGAATATTTCCAACCGGTTAAAACGGTAAATAGATTTTGATGCAGAAGTCATCCTATCGTTGAGAACACAGCAAAATAAAAACATTAAAAAAAGCGGTAAATTACATTGCGGCAATAAGATAAAATAGTACAACATGTAAATAAAAAAAGAGTATAAAGAAATCTACCAAGTCTTCGTAAAAAAATTCTAAAAAATAAAAAAATCTTCGCAAATAAAAAAAACTATTCACAAACTAATATTATTAAAGACGTCAAAAAAATCTAAGTTTTCTTAAAAATTTACAAAATTAAATCTTTTCCTCATATAGAAAATTCTTGGCAATGTCAACATTTCGTAAAAAAAGGAATTCTAAAAAGAATCTTCGTAGACTTTTTTTCTAAAATAGTCTACTTCAAGAAAAGTGCTTCGTCAAGAATTTTTTCAAAATAAGAGCATTTGTAAACAAACGTAATTTAAAGTCATCGTAAAGTAGTCTACCGAAAAAGAGTATTCTAAAAAAGATTGAGCAAGTTTTCGTAATGTAAAAAGAGTTCGATCGGTAAATGTATATAGTTTTACGGCGTGTTAAAACAGTTATAATCGGTGCGAGCGCTGTTTGTTTTAAATTATCCAGTCGGAATCATGCATCCCCTGTTTATAAACAAAAATTCTATTTCCGTCTCGCCCCGGTTGAATTTTGACACGACCGTGTTACGAAGTGCGTGTACAAACCAAAATAAAATTTCGCTCCGAGTTTGACCAAAAATAGACGAGCTCTCACCGCAGTATAGCGAACGCCTTAATTTAATACCCAATTTGCATGCGTCTCCTTCCTATCGGCCTTTTACCCTTTTCAGTATTACAATTTTCTAAAGCAGCCGGCCATGTGAGAGAGTAAAAAAAGAGAGGAAAAAAGGCAGAAAGCCCATTTCCGTTCTTCTTGTGATACGACTTCCGGTATAGTCTCGCCCGACTGACAAAAACAGCCACAGAAAAAAAAGAATGGAGAGAACATAATTTCCATGCGACGACATTGAAAAGCTGGAAAAAGAGGGACGTACCAGAACCGCGGTTGCAGCCATTTTGGCAGTACACCAAAATCAATATATTTGTTGCGGATGTCCGCAAAACTATTAACAAAAATTTTCGTTTTCTCGCCGAAAAATGAAAATCGGAAGAGCGGAGCGTTTTCCATCTGACCCAGATTTTAATGGTCGGCCGGGATTAGCGCGGGCGATGGATGTGTCTGGAAGAGCAGAAGAATGGAAAGGTTTCCGATGTCTGCGATTTGTTGCACGTCAGTCTGGAGCCCACCGGACGGAAACAAAGCGTCGGGAATACGAAATAGGAGGCGAACCAGAGATAAGGAGACCTTGCCGGAGGATGGAGATAGAGAATCTGCGTTTGCATGCGAAGGAGAGAGAACGAGGAATAGAAAGAGAGATTGGACGAAGGATAGGACTTTTGGCCGAAGACCAAGACCGAAGGACAGGATGTATATATGGTATATACGCTACGGTTTCCGCATTAACATTAATCCGTTCATTCTAATCCGATCGATATAGTCGAACAACACAACAAAACAAACTCGAGGAGAAAGAAAAAAAATTGAAGGAGAAAAATAGAAATAAAACGGAATTTATTTAATCCCAACTAAATGATACTGGCAATAAACACACGTACTTCGAAAAGTCTTTAAATCAATTTACAAAGTGGCTTAAAGTTCTTGAAAACTTTGGGTTTTAGGGTAAGCCGGTATTAAGTGACCAGATGTTTCTACACTTGCATCCGTCAAGTTTTACCGTTGTTTTTTTCTTCTTCTTCTTAATGTTCTTCCTCACAAGCTAAATTACTTAATTACTTAAGTTTACTTTCTTATTTCACGCATTTTATTTTATTTACTTTCCAGTAAACATTACAGCTATACTCGAAGAAATATAAAAAGAAAATCTTATTACAAGCAATTAATTTATATTTATTTTGCCGATTATCAACTCTATAATTTTTTCATTAATATTTTTGATAGTCGAATAGAAAATGATAAATTATAAAATTAATCTCACACAAACAATTAAAATAACTGTAATTAAGCACAGGATGTAGACTATATAAAGAGAACATAATTTTTCAAGGGTAAAAATTGTAAAATACTAAATTATTATTAAATAAAACTACCATTTTCTTTAAATGTTTATTTTTGCAGTTTAAAAAATCTAAAGTCCCAAAATTTCTAAAAAGGTCAAAAAACAATAAGTTCAAAATTTGCCTTTCTGTGATTTGAAAATTGAATTTCACTTTATAAAATCGTCTTTAAAAAGTATTAAATTTTATAAATTGAACATTTTACATATTGTTTCAAAAACTATACTTTTTCCTTCCATTAAATCTTTCCAAATTATTTTTTTTTAAACTTTATACTATGTATATTAAAGTCATATAATAAATATGTAACCTATATTAAAGTGAAAGACTACTAATTATTTATTACATAACTTTAAAAATATATATTAAATCTTGCACTTAAATATGACATTGTTCAATGACATTTTAATTGGTAGTACAGAGATAAAGAAACGTGTTGTGCAACGCACTTTAACAAATATGTCCTTACCAACAACAATTTTATATTTAAACGGCGCATGAAATTGATTCTTTTTTTAAATAATTGTCATAAAAAATTATTATATTTTCTATAAGCAATAAACAATATATTAACTAGATTATTACAAGTAAAACAACAATATTATAAACTTAAATATGTTTAAATAAATAAAATATTTGATTATTAAAAAATATCAATTTCAAACAAAAAATATTAATTCAGTATATCTTATTGCCTATTAATTAATCAAAATTTAAATCGCATTATATTTTCAATAGTCGCAAAATGACAGCTGTCACCTTACGACATAGCAAATATGACAGCTGTCATTTGGCGGAACTGCTGAGAAACTCTTGGCTGTCTCTTTTTTTTTCAATTTTATATTATACACAACACGCACTACAACAAATATGTTGGATTGAGAAAAGCTGGTTTATAATAAATATGACATTGGTAAACTTCACACAGGTAAATTTTATATTGAAAAGTCTCCATCAAAAAATACATACTTAAAGTGAATATTAAATCTGTGTGTATCAGTTATACGCTAACAGGAAGATACGAATTTACTTAATACTTTTCTAAAATATTATGTAATTAGAGTAAATCGTTATGTAAAAAATATTAACTTTTTTACTGCCGTTCCTATCAAAACAAACCAATGGTGTTTCTGTGTACCACTAGTACTACAATTCACTATCGACGCCCGCAGGCATACGCATTAACTGCAAAGTATAATTCACTATAAAAAGAATAGTGTCAATAAACTTTGGAGCTCGAGAAAGCACTTTTAATTTGTCTTCACTTTGCAGCTCACGTTAAAAACCATACACTGGATTTTTTTTTTATTTCAGATCATAAAACTCCATGCCCAGGGGTCTCTTCACCCGTCTCCGCAATTATTCTTACATAACAAACACTTTCACTATATCTATGGAAAATTAAATCTTTGACTACCTTTTCTTCCGTAAAATCAATGAATCGATGATGTATTTTCACAGTAATTAATCCAATAATGCCGTGTCCACGATACAAACGCAAATATTGACACGTTTGGAAGACACATTTTTTTGTGTGGAACCGTCGGGACTTTGTTTGCTTTTTGATAAAACGATTTGTAGTGAAGCCATGTAATCTAATCTATCTAAAAACTTGAAACTATATAAATATT